AGTGGATTATGTGGTTGGGGCTCTTCCTAATGCCCTAGCACAAAATTTATTGTAATTTGAATTCGAGTGGTTGTGTGTTCTCTCTTTTTCTCTCTACTTAGTAGAAATACTAAAATTTGCCTTTATTATTTTGTTATAGTTTATCTTAGAAAAAGAAAGGACGCTCCGATTTATAAATAAATGGTCAAAGTGGTAGTTATGGTAGTTAAAGTGGTGGTGGATCGGTTGATATTGGTAAAATAGTAAAAATTGTATAGTTAAAAATAAAATTTGTATCAAATAAAAATTGTAATTATAAAATAATAAAATTTTTTAAAATAAATAAATGTATTTAATAATATGTATGTATATACGAAATAAATTTTTATTATATTAATTAAAAAAAAAAGTTTTTGTAAATTTAAAGTTTTTTGTCAAGTTTAAATATATTAAAAAGTTTATACAATCAAAAAATAATAATAAAATAAAAATTACTAAAGTATATTTTTCTAAGTTGATTTTGTAAATGTACATACTGTATATTATTAATAAAATATTCGAACATAACTAACATATTGAATTACTAATTTTCATTAAATAAATATTTATATACAGTATATTTATTTAGTCTCTTATTATTTTTTTAAAAAAATTGATTTTGCTAAGTTGATTTTTGTATTAATTAATAAATACATTAAAAGTTTGTTAAACTAACACTAACTCATACAATTTAAATACGTGATAAGAAAAAAATTTATCAAATAAAAAAAATAACGCTGCGCAGAGATAAAAATTCTTAAAATTACCAATTAAAAAATTCATTAGTGTAAAAACAAACTTAATAAAACAATAAAGTATTAATTTACTCGTTACCATCGTAGATAGAAATTAATACTATTAATGCAAGCAATCCCGCATATTTCTAATTGACTGAAACTAATAATAAAGTTTACATATGGTTGAAAGCTTGTCTCAGGTTGTTTTTATGACCAACCAGTTTTCGTTTTTTTTTTTTTTTTTTGCTAGTTGTTTTTTAAATCGGCCTTGTAAAAATCGACACGTCCCGTTTTTTTACTTTAATGCTGATAATTACTTGGCTAGTCAACCATTTTTACTGAAATGACCTCGAGTAAAGTGCTGTGATTGAAAATGTGAATATTTATTGATCTCTCATTTTTTTTTTGCGCATGTCTTCCAAAATGGAAAGAAAGGATTATGTCAATCTTTACATGTGTAAATGGTTTTTTTTGTTTATGGTTGCACAGAACAGATAATATTTCTGTTTGAAAAGGTGATTGTAAATTTCATTGCTTATATCGCGTAACAGGGAAAATATAATATGAATGACCAAATATTCTACCCATTCATACGGCCAATGATGTTAAATCATGGGTTGCTGAAAAAAAATTAAAATTTTAATTAATTGGCCTGTTTAATCTTTAGATTTGAATCCCATTGAGGATCTAAAAGCAGCTCTTTAATAGGTTGCAAATTTTTGATATCAATGATTTTCTTGACTATTATTTTTCACCCTATCTTTGATTCGAGTGAAAATATCATCTTATTTTGTAATCTTTTCTTCGTCATTTTCTAAAAAGAATAATATGACTAGGGTTGATAATAAGATAAGTTTGAAAATATCTTTTTTTTCCATAAACGGATTCAACAATTTGATATGAAAAGAACAGATACAGTATAAAATAATAGATTCGTTCATCCCAAAAATAATTGTTCATTGTGGTGGTGTTACACAAATTTCTCATTATGTAAATCGATTGTTTTACTCATATTTTTCTGATCAAGAAAATTGCCAATCTAATCTCAAATGAATAACAATATTAAAATTGGGTTCCATTGTTTGACCATGAAAATAAAAAACGATAAAAAAAAGCCCCATTTTTTTTTTTTTAAGACAAATCTACTTTACACTTTCATTCTTAATTACAAGTTAAAATTCTTTGGTGTGAAACTTCTGTTAGAATTTGGAATTTTAAATTTTCCCTTTTATGTACTATGTCAAAATATTTATATTCCACGTTTCAAAACGAGGTTCTAATATGTTACAATTTAGGAGAGAAAGTATATCATGCTTATGGACATGGAAGAGGAGGTATGATTATTCTTCTAACTTACTTTAATCCTATCATTATTAACTTCATATTCATCCTTAGGATTTCAAGCAAGCTACGGAACGGCATGTAAAGTATTAGAATCAGTCAATGATCACAAATTCTCGGAATTTTGTCTTTCAAAAAAACCTTTTGCAAGTTCTTGTTGTTACAGTGACTCAGACTTCGAAACTTTAATTGTTCGCTTGATTAGAGGTCAGCAGCAACTTTGTTGACTAGATATTAGGAGATCAATTCGTCGGGATATAAGAAAAGTTACAATATCGACAATAATAAGACGGATAGGACTAAATTAGAAAATTTAGTTACCTTTTACAAGTTCTTATTATTGTTGTAATTTTGAAGTTTGATTTATAATAAATTTTTGTTGGCACGAGAGATATATTTAATTCGGAGTTGGATATCTTTCTAGAAATGAGAAAGATAAAAAGGTTCATGAAGTCGAGCAAATTTGGCTATTAGCATTGAACGAGTTGCGTAACTTAATGCGGTGATAATTTTAGATAGAAATAGGTTTCGTTTCTGCTTTTGTGGTTAAATGTCTCTTCTCTTAATGCTTATTACAGAACGCCGATTGAAGCACTAATAATTTGTATTCTTTTGTATTTATTAATAAAACCTTATAATCTCGTTAATTATAAAATTGTTACATTAGTCTTCATCGTCCTCGCCTAAATTAATTATAAATCCCTTGGAGGGAATTATTTCGAATCTGTTGATATATTCCTAAAATTGGTTAGGCCAAAAAGCAATATCTTTTGAGGATTAAGCAAGCCTTTCTTTTCCTGTTGACAGATTTTGTTTGTATTCATCGAATGAAAATCAATCCTTTCTCCAGTTTTCCAGATGATGACATCCATCGTAATTAATACGCGAAGACTATAGAATTCATTTCGCACCAAAATGAAATTAGACAATTATTGATGTTTTAATCTAGAAAATATAAAATAGTCGAACTACTAGCTCAAATTTATAGTTCATTGAAATTTCATAAAGCTCTTGAATTTACATTGTATATACAAACTTCTGCGTAACTTGGTAATACATTGACAATTACCAGGACACATGCAACTTTGATTTATATTTAATTTTCTGGATTGGAGTAATGTTTTTCATTAAATGCGATTCTGTAATTCATGAATGACTATTTTTTAAATTATTTATTAAATTCTTTACGTTTAATTCACATAATTAGAAAATTCCATTACTATTTGTTTGTGACAACCAATATTATGGTCTTTGACCCATATCAAGTTCCACTCTAATCTCAAATCCCATCCTAAATCATCCAAATTCCATATATTTTATTAATATATTACATTAAATAAAAAGTTACAATTAGCCATTTTTCAAAACGTTTTTATATAAAATATTCTTTAAATTACTTTTTTTTTTTAAAAAAAATAAAATAAAATAAAATAAAATAAAAATCCAAAAAAAAAGAAAACCAGTGCTTAATCAAATTTTTTTTTTTTTAAGAAAATAATATTTTAAAAAAAATACTTATATTTTAAATAAAAAATTCTTCTTGATTATTAGAATCATTATTTGTATTTAATAAATTTGCTAATAAATTAATAAACCTAAATTATTATTATTTATACCATTTAAATTTATAATTTCATAATCCTTAAGAATAAATTAATTTTAAATTCATTATTATTTTCAAATAAATCATTTTTATTTGTTATAAAAATAGATGTAAATTTAACTATAAAGTATTTTATATTTAATAAAGAAAAATTATTTTTGTATAATTAGAGTTTTTAATAAGTTAAATCAAGTTGGATCACAAATTAAAACCTTATTTTTTATTAAATTAGACCACATTCAACAAAAATTTACAATTATGTAAATCAAAATATAATTTTTACAAGTCATTTTTCAGAGTTCTTTATAATAAAATAATGTATTATAACTAAAATTACTAGTTAAAACCTAAAGGTTTTGCAGATTATATAAATAATAAAGATAAAAATTTAGCAAATTATATTAAACTTTATTAAAAAAATTCAAAAACTATATCAAAACTTATAAAGATGGCAAAATTATATTAAAAGTTTAATAAAAAAATTAGTTAAATAAAAAATTTAGATATTTTATTAAATTTAAATAAATATATAATAATTATTTTAGTTAATACTATAATAACTCTTATAATTCCTTTTTTCTATCAATAATTTTATATAAATTTGAAATAATAAATAAATGATTAAAATATATTTTATAATTAAAAAAAAAACTTTTTTAAATAAATTAGAAAAATAACTAATAAATTCATTAATAATTCATTTTATGATACTAATATAGTTATAAATAAGATTTACATTTAAATAATATTAAATTTACTTAAAATATAAAAATTTATTTAATATAATAGTTAAATTAATATTAATTAGGTTAGTTTTTTTTATGATTTAATCTTATAACTTAATTATTTATATAATATTTTTATTAAATTAAATTTATATTTATTATATAATTATTAATAAACTAAATATAAAGAAAAATCAAATATTTAATATAAAAATATTATATTTAATAATTATTTGAATTATTATATATTTTTAAATATTTATAAAATATATTTATTTACTTTTTATTTATTTTTAATACATTATATTTTAAAAAATTTAATTTTATAATAAAATTAAAACCTTAAAAAACAATTTAATTTTTATTTATAAAATATTATATGATAGTTATTTATTCATTTATTATTTTTTTTTTAAATTTAAATTTAAATAAAATAACTTTTGTATTATTTAGATTTATTAAATAATATTATATTAATTATATTTAATATCTATATAATACTTTTTTTATCAATCATCTTTTTAATATATATGAAATTTTATTTTAACTTAGATTATTATAAACATTTTATATTTATATGTATTATTTCTATGTTTTATTTTATTTATGTATTTTATTTCATATATTTTTATTTATTATATTTAGTATTTTTATTTCATTTATCTTATTAATACTTATATGTAATTATTTTATAAAAATAAAAGACAATTTCTTTCTAAAAAATTTTTCATAAAAGTAAATCAGAAAAGAATTTATAGTAAATAAGCAAGCAAATATATCTACAAATCCTACAATCTAAGAAATAATAAGCATTTTAGATATAATTTATTTATTTATTTAAAATTATTAAAAAAAATAAATAATTTATTTAATTACTTTTATTTTATTATCAAATATAATTCTTTGTTAATATAAACAAAATATAAATTATTATTAATTATAATAGTATTAAATCGCTTTTTTTAAAAATAAGTTAAAAATCTGTTTTATATAGGTTTATACTCGTAAGTCAACTTTTATTGATATAAAATTGACAATTTTGGTTGGTTAATCATTTATTTGTTGATGTTGATCAAACCATATTATCATGCTCAAATAATACAGGATCGTCTGCAGTTTTGCTAATCAGGTTAATTTAATTAAACGGCAATCCGTTATGCCAGCCACATATACTCAACTTTGTCGCACGAAAATCATTTATAAGGCCTTGTTGAAACGTAAAATGAACCTTCGTCACCTTCGTCTCTCTCTTTCTCACTCTTTTTTTTAACAAAAAATTTGTCATTTCCCTTTTTTTTTTGTATATCTATAAAATGACATGTCAACTTCCTGCTGATTGTTTGAATGAAATCTTTGAATACTTAGCAGAAGACAAAATTTCATTACGCTCATGCTTATTGGTTAATCGTTCTTGGTGCGAAGTTGCAGTTAGGATTTTTTGGAGAAATATTTTTAGCATCCAATATTATTTACATCATCGAGAACATATACCATTTGCAACCCTTGGAACCATAATTGCTTGTCTCCCCAGTGAATCAAAAGACCTTTTATATAATATTAATGGAATTGTTGTTCCAACGCCTACCTTAAACCCACCAATATTTAATTATTTATCATTTGTCAAGGTTCTTTCAATTTGTACGATTGGTCAAATTATTGAAGATGCTCTAAAGAAACAACATATTTCTTCTTCGCAAAGCCTATACTTTAGTAAATATTTAATGTTACAAGAATTGTTTAAAGGCTTCATGAGTCAAATTTCATCTTTAAAATCTTTGGATTATGTTTCAAGGTTAGACACGCAATACATGCCCTTTTCGTATTTCCCCGGAGCAAAAGATTGTTTGAAAGATCTATCAGCATTTAGTTGTGACTCAAATATTTACCCCGAATTTTGTTTTCAAATGTCTCAAATATGTTATAATATACAATCATTGACAATAGAATTTAAAAACAGCGTATCAGATGGGTTGAAGGACTTAATTACCTTCCAAGTCGATTTGAAATATTTAAACTTAAAGGCTTTTGAAGACAAAGATTGGAGGGAAATCATACCCGCTCTAACTAAACATCATAATAATTTAACAAAATTACACATTAATACTGATATAGACAGTGTATCATTCTCATTTATCGCTTTATTTGAGAATTTACAAGAACTCTTTATTTGCTCTGATCGATATATTTCCGATTTTGATAAATTACAACATGTTACCTTTCAAAATTTACGAGTCTTGAAAATTCCTAACAGACAACCAAAAAGTGAATTCTTCACGAAATTTTTGGAAAACAATGGACAAAACCTTGTTGAATTGGTTTTATCTGATGTTAACAAATCAGTAAAATTATCAATATCTCGTTTTTGTCCAAATCTTAAAAATCTCTTCGTATTATTTGGAAAGGATGAGACGAATCTATTAAAAGCCATACTTGATAGTTGTCAAGCTTTAGAAAGTATCAAAATGTGGTGTGGTCATGACTTTTTAAATGAGAAAGAGTTTCTCGAAGTTATCGCAAGCTTTTCACCAAAAAATTTTAATGAATTGAAGTTATATAATGATACAAGAGAATTATTTCGCGAGGACATGGAATCATTTCTTTTAAGTTGGGGAAATCGAATTCCACATAAACCGTTAAAATTATTTGTTACGACGTTGGAATTGAATGAAGAGATCATTACAACAATTGAAAAATATAGAAAATTAGGTGTCATCAGGAAATTTGGATTTGAAAATTTTGATTATTAAATGTTCATTTGTACTACTTTTATAATTTATTAACTTTATGATGTGGCATTAGATAGATATATTTTGCATTCTTATTCTTTAATTAAATAAAAATCCTTAAATTCAGTTTTTCTTTTTGTTTTTTTTTTTTTTTTTCTCATTGTCCTATTGCTCCGTCCTTCTATCGTAAAGTTTCATTTTTTTCTTCAATAAATTGATCGAACTTCCTGCGCCACAACTTTTGTGTCGATCCCTGAAGATATAAAATCTAAAACGGATCTTTTGTTACACACCCCATGAAACTCCGTTATAACGATTTTGATACATTTGACAATGTCCATTCAATTTTTAGTGTTTGATACCTAGCACAAGCCTTGTTCGGAATCGGACTTTTCCAAGAAAGAAACCTTTATATACTTTCCGACATTTCAACAAGTCCCTTTTGATATATTGTATCAATAGTATTATCTTTTACCGATCCTACACTTTTAGGTTTGTGAGACAAAAACTGTCATAACTATAATATTCGAAAACCTGTCGAAAGTCAAAATCGTTTTGACTTTCGCCGTTTGATATGAGTTTTGCCTCGTAACTATATCTATGGATTTGATCTCCGAAACGGAAGACTATCATCTCGACTTGGTCGTTTGCGAGTTACTAGACATAGTAATTATATAATCCGTTCGTGATTTTAATAGTAAACTGCACATTTCAAGACTGACCGAAGCTTTTGAAGCCTTTGTAAGACCAAATGCAATAATTCCATTACGAACTTAAACGTCACTGTTACATCTGAGTTCAAGCCGCTCATTTTCCAATCAAAAAAAATGTTTTATCCTGATCTTTAATGCTTAAAATTTTTAATAGATCAAGTAAATCACATAAAAGGTATATCGAATCTTTTTCAAGATTTAAAATTAAATCAATATTTGTGATTGATAAGATATTTTATCTTAAAGAATATTTCTAGAATATAATAAATTTTAGAATATTTCAAATCATTCTTTTAATATATAAATATAGTAATTATTATAATAAAAAATCTTTTAACTATTTATTAGATTATCAGTTACATACAGTATATTATTATAATAAATAATATTTGTTAACAATTTAGAAAACTTTTTTTTAAACTCTATTATTTTTTTATTAGTATTACAAATGCTTATATTAACTAAATTATTATTACTATTATTATTTAAGATTTTAAAGATGTTATAAATAAGTTTCTAAAGAAAAAAAATTAATACTACTTACTTTGTTTTTTACCTTTCTTTAAAAATTAAACCAATTTGAATTTTTAAATTTTAAATCAATCAAAAAAATCAATTAGAAAAAAAAATATTAAATATTTTTTTAAAAAAAATATTAATTATAAATTTCTCTTAAAATAACTTTTAAATAACATTTTTTTTAAATAAATTATTTGTATTTTATTTTTTGACTTTAAATTAAAAATGTAATTTAATTTATTTAATATCTTTAATTTTAATATAATTATTTCTTCAATATTTTTATTATTAATAAAAATTATTATTTTTATTTATTTTATTATTAAAAATTTTATTTTTGTAAAATTAAAAAACTTTTTAACAATCATTCTTAATGATTTTTTAAACACCATTCCTATTATACATGATATGCAGATCATATGATTAATGCATTATTTTATTAAAAATATTAAAGATATATATAATGATAAATTTTACAAATACAATTAATATTTAAACAATCATATAATACAATAAATCTAAATAAAAATATTCTCTTTATTTAAACAATATAAATAAGTATATACTTTTCTTTATAATTTTTGTAAATATTATTTTTTTGTATTATATTCATCTTTATGACCATTCTGATATGTATATCCATCTCTTTAAGACTATTTAAACTATTATTTAAACATAATTTCAATCTTTTGATAAGCTTTTTTTTTGAATTTACTTGCAATAAATTTAATTAAATTTTGTAAAATATTTGCAACATGTATTAAATTAAATTTAGCTACTAATGATACTAATTTTCACTTTAATGTAGCATATTTACCATAAATTTTTCTTTTTGCAATTTTATATTCTATCTTAAAATTTTGATTTAAATAATTTTTTTTAAAATTTTAGATTTTATTTATAAAAATTATAGATAAATTTTTTTTATTTATATTATAATCACATATTTCAAAAGAATCAAATATAATATAAATATTTTGTATGTTAACACCTTTTTTGTACTAATGTATAAAACTTCTAAATAAGAACTTTATTATAGTAAAAATATAATAAATTTAAAATGCAAAAAAAATTTTATTATATATAAAATTAAAAATTTAATCTATAAAATTAATAATCTATGATTTATTCTTTAAGAATTTTAAATTAGAATTTTAATATCTTTAATATTAATAAAGTTATATTAGGTTAAATTTATTTAAATTAATTATAAAAACTAAAATTAAAAAAATATATATTGATGAATTATTAGAATGATTCTTTTATTATTCATATATTTTATTCTAAATATTATTATAAATTAAATTATATAGAGATATATTAAGTATAACAAAAATATATATATTAGATTCAATTTTTTTTTAGTAATAATTTGAAGATATATATAAAAATCATGACAAAATATGAATATTTTTAAAAAAGTATTACTAAAAAAAATAGTAGATTTTATAGCTAAAAAATATAAGTTTCATCATTATATATCTGATGCAATTTATAATAAAATAATAAAATAAAATAAAATAAATTATTTCATATGATTTTTAAATTCTAATTTCTGATTAGCTCATATATATATTACACAATGTTTATAATAATTTTTAAAATTAAAAAAAAACTTTTTTTTATAAATTGATTCATTTTTACAAATCAATTTTTTTATTTGATTAAAATCTAATTGCAAAATTAAATTTTATTAATGTTTTCTAAGTTCTTATTATAAAGATTTTACACTGTATTAATCTTTACTAAAATAATAGCAAATTTTGTATTTTATGTATATATTATTTAAAAAAGTGATAATAAATAAGACCTTTATTAATTAAAAATAAATATATATGAATATATGAATAATTTTAATATAATATAATAATATTAGATAATGATATATTAGTTTTTATATATTAAATCTCTCAAATTTCTAAAATATTAATAATTTTAACAAATTATAAAAGATTTAAGTATAATTTAGGATTTATTTATAAAATGTTTAAAATAAATTAAATTATCAGAATTATCAATCTTTAATAAAAAATAAAAAATCTTTAATATCAAAGTAATTAATTTATATATTTTATATAATAAATAAAATTATACCTTATTACAAGCATAATATTAATTATAAAAATTAGCTTTGAATAATATTTAACATATATATCAATTTGAGATTTTTGAATATAAAATATCTCTTCTATTAAAAATCTCTTTTATTAAAATATCTCTTAAGGTTTTAGATAAATTTGAACTACTGCTGATAAAGGTATACTAAAAGTAAAATTAATTAAAATATTCAGATATTATATTTTTATAATTCAAATAATAAATATTATATATACTATTAAATGTTTCATTAATTTTAAATCAAAATTTATATCTTTATAAATAATAGCATTAATTAATTTTATTGTTATATTAATGATATAGTGGCTGATAAAAGAAATATAATAACTTATTTTTAGCTTTAAAAGCTTATAACTTATTAATTACAAATGCTAGAAACATAATTTTTAGTTCATTTTAATCCTTACATTTTGGAAAACATCTTATAAAAATTTATTAGCCAATTAATAATGCCAATTTTGTATAATATAAAGATCTACA